AGAATAAAAGACCTTGATTGGTCGGATAGCGCTTGAGGAGTCCTGTGTATGAGGGTGCAGCAGAGAGAACCTGTGACTGCACTAATCTGTTCTGAAACACACCAACCCTTATCCCCCGCTGATATATACCTAAACAAGACAAACACAGGCAACCAGTGAACAGGCAACCACAACAAACAAAAGAGTGAAAGACTGAAAGAGAGAGCAAGGGAGAGAGAGAAACAAGACGAAAGAGAGAGAAGTACTATTAAAGCCATTTAGTAGAAAAAAGCTAAAGTCATACGTACAAAAAAGCACTTTAAGCTTAGCCTCAAAAACTAAGGATACTAAAGAAATAAACATTTTAATAAAAATATTTTTTTAAACCTAAAAATTATATTCATGATTTCATGACAATTAAGCAAATTTTTTTCCAATTCTAACTGCCAAAATAAAATAAAATAAATAGAATAATAATAGCAATATAATATAAAATAAATACAAAATTAAATTAAATTAAATTAGGGGAAATTATCCATAAATATTGATTATGACTAATGAACAATAATTTTAAAGTAAAATAATAGCATTGTTTTAGAACATTAAGAAATGTATAATCATATTGACATGACAATTAAGACAATTTCTTCCTAAATGCCATAATGCCAAAATAAAATCTGAGAAAATGAACCAAAAATATTGATAATGACTAATAAATAATAAAACAATAGAAACACTAAAGTTGTGTTAGACCGTATATATAATTATAATTTAGACCATACTGTATATAAAACAAAACAAAATAAGAATAACATTTATGGAAAATGAACCATCCTGCACTCATTTTTGTCCAAGCAAATGCTCTCTGAAATTTGAATGTCCCCTTGCCTTAAGAAACTGACTGTACATGATGTAAACTAAAGGCTATTGGCTACTGGCTGCCTTGAAATGGCCTGCCCCAACTTCCTGTTTCAATAGGAAACTGATTAATGCAGCAAACGCACCAGTGTTAATGAAGCCGTTTCATAAGGAAGGATGAAATACAAATGGCTGTAGACAGAGAAAAATAGAACCCAGCGAGGGAAAAAGCCTAAATATCATTAGCAATCACACACTGAGACGTGGGTAAGGTTGAATAATGTAATAATGAGAGGCAAGGCCTGTGACATTAGTTAGCAGTTTAAAGGTCTCTACCCTGGTCCGGGCCCCTGGCCTGCCTTCTGCACTGTTTTAACAGGGATGAAACCATATTAGGACATGTATGCTAAAGTAAACAATAACATAGTTGCAATGAGATGGAAATTTTTCAGCTAATGGTGTTTGTCATTCCTGTTTTCAGTCCTGGACTTAATTTCTTTGCTTCTTTCTCTTTTTTTTTCTCCACGTCTTCTTTCTTTTATTCCTCCCTCCCCCGAGCTTGGGAGGGCTGTGTTTATGAATAACAACTAAAGCGGCCAGTCCACGGCCTGGTGCAAAACACACAGTAAACAGATCTGCTTTTAACGTGCCTGTTCACTTTATTTGTTTGATATGTTGAATTACCTTTCAGTCTACAGTGAGAAAAAAAAGTAACAAGTAAAATGCATGCTATTTTGTCCTTATAATAACATTAATTGAAGGTATATTTCAGTATTATACAGTATTTTAGCCCAAAAAGTTTGAAAGAGAAGGATTTAAAAAGAAAAAAATATATTTCTTCACTCAAAGCTGGGTCTTTTTTTGTTGTTGTTGTCCTTTACTGTTTGCAGACCTCCCTGACTCATAAAGCATTTCAAATGGCAATCAAAATCTTTCTACAATCTCAATATACATTGCAATCCCACAATCTCAACAAGATAACATATTATTATTTGAATAATTCATTAAAAAAACTCTAGTATATTATATTTCATACTATATTATACTCAACAGTTTAATATGATATTAGCATCACTTCCATATTACCTTTTTACGATTTTCAGTTTATTATTTTGAACCAAATAAATCAATGATTTTTGAATCAGTTCAGAAATTTTTAAGACACCCTGAAAATTGGAACCCAGTTTGGGTTAAAGCACCATTAAAATAATACTAAAGTAGGACCTTTGTATAAATCATTAACCAAAGCAATGTTTTTTATATATATATATATATATATATATATATATATGTCATTGTGAAATCAGTTACATTTTCATACAAAGGAACATTAGTGCATTACATTTATTGCATAAACAATAATTTTTGCAATTCCATTTGGTGCCAAAAGCGGCGCAGAAATTACACATTTCGCCTTTAACAAAGTCCAAAGTCAAACTCTTATTACAGAGTTTAAAAGCCACAACAAAACTTCAGCTAACCAGTGTAGGCGTATCTCCTTTCCTCCCCACAGCACAAATACACTCCCCCTCTCTCTTTGTCTCTCTCTCTCTCTCTCTCTCGCTCTCTCACACACACACACACACACACACACACACACACACACACACACACACACACACACACACACACACACACACAAACACTCCCCTATCAAATGCAAGCTGTTTATTTACTTAATGTTAAAGCTATTCCATTAAGCAGCCAGGCCCAGGTGCTTCATCCCTAAAAGGGATTTTAGTTCCTCAAATAAATACCACGGCAAGGCACTGCCAAAATGTTATTGACCATGAATATAACAAATGTCAGAGAACAATAAACATCAACCTATGTGAGTCATTATGGGCATATATACTTTAAATTTCAGTGAACGCTGGGTACTTATGATGATTTATGAACATGATTTGATCATTGTAAGGTATATTTTTTAAGGAAGGCAAGCTAAGACTAAGCCCATATTGTATGGCTTACCTGCTTATGTTCAACAATGTGCTAATGATTTCACTTTCGTCTAACCAAAATGAGTTCAACTGTGTGGTGTATTTGCATTGCTAGTACAAAGAAAACAAAATGACTAGAGGGGAAAAAAACACAACCTTACTTAAGAAAAAAAGAAGCAAATGCATTCATTTGATGTTGGAAGCACCGTCTATAATCATTCCATCGTTCAATTTGACCCATTTAAAAAAACGGTCATCTCTTCTCAGTTGGATGAAGAAATTGAAAAGTGATGCCAAAAAAATAGAAAAAAGCATGTCTTCAGATAAAAATAAGACAAACTAAGCTTTGTGATATATGTGACAAACACTCTCGCACACACTCCTCACAGAGCGTTTTTGTGGACAGATTTCCCTTTCATCTCTCTGAAGACAACTCCTCTGACAGAAGCCGAGACTGCTGCCTGCCTGACTGGCATCACTTCCATTCAGTACAAAGATTCTGTCACGAAAACTCACTCCGACGCAGTGGCAGACCAACTACATCAAAGCCTTTGCTCCTCTAAGAGTCCAGAATTCATTAAGTTATCAATACCAAGACAAATATAATGGATTTGTAATTGTCATTTTCTAATAAGCATTTAGAGAAATGCCTCATTCTACACTTTCTAGTAAATACACAGCATCTAATTTTATTAAAGTCAGTAGAGGCACAAAACTGTATAAAATAGCCTAGTACCTTTGCCTTTTTCAGATTTTCAGTTTACTGTTTTAAGCCAAATAAATCAACAAATTTTGAATCAGTTTAGACATTTTTAGCAGACACGCTAACTTAAAGCACCATAAAAGTAATCCAAAAGTAGGACCTTTGCATGAATCAACAACCAAAGCAATATCTTTGATATATGCCATTGTGAAATCAGTTAACTTTCCATACAAAGCAGTGTGCATTACATTAACTGCACACAGAAAACCGTTAAATATGTTAGATAAAATATTATTTAACATAAAAATAATCTAGAAAGAAAAGAAGCTAGCTTTAAAAAAAAGCATGGTAATTTGGATCTGTTCCACCTCTGAGGTTTAGTCCTTTTTGATTGTTTCCAATCATACAACATCATAATTTGATGAATTTATATTCAAGATATGGCCAACATATTTTCAACAGTACCAATAAAAAAAAGAGGATGTTTTGGACACCATGGCAATACCATTTTTTATAATTATTGTAATCGTCCATACAGTCTTTCTAAGGTATTATCTTTAAACACTTCCACACTACAGGACAATGCTGACACTTTCATGATTAACAAAAAAAGAAGCTAGCGCTAACTCTTTCGTTTCAGTAACTCGATGTTACCGCTCTAAAAATTATTTTTATTACAGCAGTTATAAACCGCTCTGGAGTTATGCACACGGGCACATAAACAACTGTGTGACTAGCGTAAGCATTTAACTTTCTCGTTAGCAATCTCCCCCGTGTGGCACTTTAGCCATGCTGGCTTGTTTATTATGTTCATAGCTTTGGCAGAAAAAGAGATTTAAGTGAACTCCTACGAATCGGAAGCACTTGTAAATGCATAGAAACACACTCAGCTGTAGAAACAGGGGAATTAGGGGCTTACCAAATGCTAATGCTAATACAAAGCAATTTTCAACCTGATGCTGATACACAGAATTACATTTTTTTTGTAGTAAGCAATAAAATGTAATCAGAAGAGCTATTACATGGACCCTAATCCACCCCTGCGCCAACATGCATCAATATACAACTTTTCATTTAGTGTTACCTCAGAATTTCCATCTTTGTGGTTGCCGTAAAACGAGAGGATGAGGCAAATAAAGTAAATAATCAAGTGTATGATCTTCAGAGGCATTCCAATTTAGCCCTTGGCAGGCGACACACAGCATGCAAATATCATATTTTCCCCTGCTGTTTAACTCTCTGAAAATGTACTCAGAGTTTAAGTGGATATACACTTACTTTAACTTATGGAAGTGTGGTTGAGTGGGGATAGGACTATGCCAGTCATCCAATATAGAAGTAAATGTGTGTTTCTGCCGGGAAGTGGACTGAATTAAATATATAGGTAAGTCTTTTTGCATTAGAACAAAGTGTATGATAAATCAAAAAAGTCAGTAAAGTTATCAAAATCCAAAATCAGTTCAATGTAATTCTTCAGCATCATTCTTATCATAATCTCCAAATCCTGTTCAAGAACTTACAGTATGATGATGATTATCCTTGTTGGCCAGTTTCTAGAAAGGAGAGAAAAAGGGAGATAAACTTACACCAAAATGCCAAAGCACTGAAGAAAACTCACAGGATAGGTGGATAGGAAAGTAAGCAGGTAAATAAGTAAGTAAATAAATACTATTATTTATTTATTTTTCCAGGAAAATATCAATTCTTGTCAAAGTCAGTAGCACTGTGGATAGCTGAAATAATAATAATAATAATAATAATAAAAAACAACTTCTAACCAGAGGATGGTTTTGGTCATGCATACCAAAAGCAAAACTTCTTCTTTGGTAATGTCGCTCAATTAGATTAAGCATATATCTTTAAAAAATATGTATGCTTAAATAATGAAAAAACGGGGGTAAGAAAATGTATCTTATTCAAGTTTTTCCAATGAAAACGAATCATACTACATTAAATTTACATTAGAGGAAAAATTTAAGTACATTTGTTTCAAGGATATTTAGATCTTTTTAATGAAAAAGAAGACAAAGATACTGATTACTATAAGATTTTTACAGTGTTTGTAGTGTATTATGACAAAAGAGTGAGGTCAACAGACAAAAGACGCAGAAAGAAGGCAGGAGTAGCTTCTTAAGAAGGCAAGAAAAACAGAAAGAGAAAACGAACACAAACATAGTGAACTAGGTTTGGTTATTTGGGTGTGTGTGAACATGTCTGTAAGCATGAGCTCATGGGAAAGGATGGAAAGTCCCTTCCTTGTCCACCATAATGTCAGAGATAGAACACAGACAAACAAACTCGATCCCTCTCACACCCTGTGCCTTAATACTATACGTGAACACCCCAACTTCACTTCTATGGTTTGCTCCAGTCTCCATGTCAGCTGCTTAGGGCTGTTCCATTCTGGAGCAGACAGGGTGGGAAACCGGTTTCATACCAAATATTGTTTGGTGCCACTAATGACTAAATTTACCTTGTTGTAATACCTGGATAATTTAAAAAGTACTATTAGTAATTGACAATGACTGTTTTAAATATGTTGATTTCTCAGCAACTCGACAGGGATTGATGAAAGCCAAATCCTTCCTCAAAAACAGAGAAACATATGAGAAACAAAGGGAATAAAAGACCTGTGCAGTTAGGCAAATAAGCCGTCCTGTTTAGCAGTAAACTTTGATAAAAATAAATGACCTCTCCTTTTCTCTCAACCTTGAGAAAAGCATACAAACACAAGAGCTGCAACAAATCAAGTGATTCATTAAACTAGATACAGAATAATAGCACAAGTCCTGCCCTCTCAAGTCCGTCAACAAACACACACACACACACACACACACACACACATGCACACACATACACAGCTCCACTGGAGTCTAATAACTAATCATGTGTTTACCTTCTCCAAGGACTTGCTTATTTGCGGCCGTCTTCAGTTCCAGCGCTGCGTTTAACCTCCCTGCCCTGCAGAGACAACAAGCACAGAGAAAAAGCTGTAGATGTTAAATTACTGCAGCTGTCACAAACCATCAGTCAGCTCTGTGCGTAAAAAAATGACATTAAAAGTAAACAATTTTGATAAGCTATTTTGATGGTGCAGACAAACTAATGAGGACTCAATCGTGGACATACCGAATAAGTACATCATCTACTTAACAGAACTTGAAAGAACAGAAAAACACACTTTCATCCACAGCATTATTAAAAAACTTTTAACAGCAATATGGAAATGTTTGATTCATCATCCTTATTAAACCATTTCATTTTCAGGGTTAAACTTTACCTTTATATGAAGTGACAGTTGTACAGTAGAGTTTACAATAAATCTGCTGCTAAAACTGGATTACGTACCAAAACAAGTAACATAACAAATCACAACAACACAATTTTTTGGACATATAAACTACAGTTTAAAAGTTTGGGGTCAGGTAAGATTTGTCCATATTTTCTATTTTTTAATGATTTTAAATTGTAATTTAATCCTGTGATGGCAAAGAGAAATGTTCAGCATTACTCCAGTCGTCAGGGTCACATGGTCCTTTAGAAATCATTTTAATTAGTGATCGACCGATATTGATTTTTTATAACCAATACCGATACCAATTATTTGCATGTTTATCTGTCCGATAACCGATATGCAGAACCGATATTTATTTACTGTTATAAAGTAAATAAATGACTGAGTGAAGTAAAAACATAATTTACTTTGGTTTTTCCTCTTTTCAGTCATCTTTTTTTTTTATTAAGTGTTGAAAATTAGCAGTCTTTCATGTTAAAATTAATCTTCATACTTCAACAATAAAAAAACTTTATTTATAAAAAAGCATCAACAGCAACAACACTAATATTAACAATAAGAAAAATAAATGTCTAATGTTTTCAAATGGAGAAAATAAATAAAGGACAGGAGTCATATCAACTTCATTTTAAACTAGTTTTAGTAGGTTTATAAGCTGTTTAATAGCTACAGAGTCAAGAATAATTCACTGGATAATGTTAATTCACTGAATAATATTCTCTGGAATATTGAAATATAACAAACAAAACATCGTATTTTATTGCATTTCTCAACTGGAATGTTATATCAGAATTATTAATAATGTTTTTGTCCTTCTAGATTATGAAATGCCTGCTGACAGCGCGGTTTATCTATGCAGTTACACAGAACTACCCTCAAACTGCGATCGCTCGTGGAGATAATAAATAATTAATTTCCATAGAGTTGTATTTATTTTGATGTTTATTAGCGAAATATTGGTTATATAGTATATGTTAATACAATTTAGGGTATTTTAAACAAGTGAATCTTGTTAAAAGTTACATGTGGTGGCCGTGCTGGGGAATTTTCTGAGCATCAACCCGGTGAGTGAACAGCAATATGAAAGCGGCTTCACGAGACTAATGATGAGCAAATATACAACAGAGAGATAATTAAATTCAGCGCTTTTATTTCCAACATGCGCTTATTCGTGGCTGTATTATTTAACTCATGCAAAGTTACGTCTTTATTGGGAGAGGATCTTGACGGATTATCTACGTGACTCCGACTTCACGAGACTAAAGATGAGCAGACAACAGAGAGTGAATTAAATTCAGCACTTTTATTTCCAACATGCGCTCATTCATGGCTGCATATTTAATTCAGGCAAAGTTATGTCTTTATTGGGACAGGACTTGACGGATTACTTTACACGACTCCGTGAGTTGGTCTCTATTTCTTAGAGCCAAGCTGCATACACTACATATCAGGCATTTATGTAATGCATCTAATTTGTGCATAAATGGCTGTTATGCTAAATAAAGTTTTCTAACTACAGCAAAACAAGTACCTGCACCCTTCTGTTGTTGTTGTCTCGTCTCCCCCTCAGATGCGCTGCAATAGTGATCCTGCACGCAATTCTCAAAACACCCACAAGATGGCGGCGTTTATCGGTGAATCCGATATTACAAAACCGATATCCGATTATGGTAAAATGCTTAAATATCGGGAAAAATATCGGTAAATCGATATATCAGTCGATCTCTAATTTTAATGCTGATTTGGTGCTCAAGAAACATTTTATATAATTCTAAATGTTGAAAGCAGTTGCACTGCTTAATTTTTTTTTCTAGAAACCATGATATTTTTTTTCAGGATTCTTTGATGAATAGAAAGCATTTATTTGAAATAGAAATCTTTTTTTTTTTGCACATGGTGTCACAGTACTACCATTAAGTATTGGACACGTACCATGGTAATACCATGGTATTCTTGGAAGTACCATGGAGTACAACATAAAAACCATAATACATTTCAGTTTTAAAGTATCATAGTATTATCTGCCACAATGCCTTTTTATAAAGCACCTCCCCCCTAAAAGACAGTGAGGCAAACCGTTCACAAGCTCACATTTACAGTCTCAATATACGCTAAGAGCATATTCTCATGCTAGACTATTGAGAAAGATACTATAGGCCAGCATCCCTTTGCCATTTGAATAAAAGCATGAAAGCTTAGCCGAATGTGAAAAAATATGCAGTTTACATTTGGCAGTCAAAACAGTGGCTGGCCGTTCGAGCAGAGTGATTCTGTTTATCTCAGGTAAAGTGAGCGCAGATAAAACACACTGGTGCAGCCTGTCCATGTTCCTGCATCAATTATCTGTTAAACGCCCTTGTTAAGGTGGGTGGTCAGCATTTACAGCGACTAAAAACACCAGCCACCACAAGGACTGTATGCGTTTTCCACGTATCTTGTGCTGATTCCAATTCATTAGACTTCAATTAACACGTCATCCCTGCTGTTATGAATCAATAGCTCTTGGTGACAGGTGATGAATTTTTCAGCTTAAAAAGCTAAACATAATTTATTCAAATCACCTGCTAAGGTCTCAGGTGCTAAATGAGTTTACTGAAATGCCTAATGCTCATTTAGACAAATGTTCTCTCATCCTAATGATGAGAACGTTTTGCATTGAGAACAGGAAGGGGGGAGGGGGGGGAGAAAGACGCACAACAGCAGTTACCTTTCAGTTTTTAGCACCGTAATGTGTTGCTAAATCGATAACAGTCCAGACTGAAAGCATGAAGTTGGAGGTAATGCTGGTGTTTTGTGTAGCGGGGTGGTGGAGGCCCGGGGAGTGAATAAATACGCTCATGCTGCTAGACCCAGCTGGAGAAGGAAAAGATCCAGCCTTCTGGTGCTCGGGGAACTTGCTGAGATAATCGGCTTCATGGGGGTGTTATGAAGGAAACACGGCAAGAGAGACAACTAAATGAGCACATGGGCTAAATACTGTCTGAAGATGATAGCAAAGAAACAGAGAGGGAAAAAACAACAACTTTCAGTTCTTATATAAAGGAGGTTTCTTCAACTATGGGCAATTTTGGACCTAATTAACTCACTTTTCAAATTCACTAGTTCGTCTAACAATGTCCAACAGTGTCCAAAAGTTGATGATGTATCCTAAATACATCATTACATATTTTGACACTTTTTGTATAACTGCACCAAAGGGATATTTACCTGAAATTTTCCTGTTTTCTTCACAGATCATATACTACTGTTCAAAAGTTTGGCGTCGAAAATATTTTTTTATTTATGTTATTAAAAGTCTCTTATGCTCAACAGGCAGCATTTATTTGATAAAAAATACAGTAACATTATTACAATTTAAAATACCTATTTCTATTTGAATATATTTAAAAATTTAATTTATTCCTGTGATGGCAAAGCTGAATTTTTAGCAGCCATTACTACAAAAAAGCAATAATTTCTTAGAAAGTACTAATTTCTCAAAAGCATTAATTTCTTAAAATGCATTTGAAAGATAGTTAAAAAAAAGTTATGGTACAAGAAAGTTGTGATGTGACCTTCATGTAACAAAAAGAAAGAAATGGTTAAAATATAATAATTTCAATAAAATATGAAGGTAATTGTGTTTGACCTAGAATCGTATACATTTGTATGGCCGGTAAAAACTTTGGTCATACATGACAATGATTGCTAAAAATTATATCATGCACATGAATATCAACAATCTCATTTATAAAACCAGACCTAAAGAGGACTTCTGCTAAATATTGTTCTTATTCGACCGCATTTACATCGTACAGGCTGTCGAATCACACACTCCAACCGTTTCCTGGCTAAACCCAAGCCAATCCTAACGGAAAAGGCCCTGGTGGTCATTATGAACGCCTCTTCAGTCCATCTAATGGACCATCTCTTTCCTCACTTCACCAAAAACACAAGAGCACATGAATATTTACCACCAAGCAAAGCCATTCCATTAATCGGTTTGCGAATGCTTAAATAGCATATCTGTGGCTACTTCCTACGGTGGGGTCATAAATGACCATTCCTGCTTCATTAGCATATTAATTTATGCAGAGATTGAGTGCAGCTCATAGGCTGTGACCAGCTCCTCTTCTCCCTATTGGTCAAGGAAACAAATTTATCCAGTGTCAAGCACTCTGACAAGCACTGCTCAAAAATATTGTAGAATGGTGTTGTAAAATATTAGAGGAACGGTCCACTCCATACAATAAAAAAGAAAAGAAAATTTGAAGGACGATCATGTTTCTCTTTCGTATAAAATGAAAACATACAGTGACTGCAAAACATAGAAATGACCAAAAGCACCATAAAAGTAGTCTATTTGATTATATAAAAGTAGTCTATTAGTATATTTAAGATTTATCTATTTAATTTCCATCCATTTTAGTAATTTTATTTATTTCTACATATCATACAAATCTGTATAACTTTATAAGACTTGTAATATTGCAAGCAATATAGACCTGCTGTACAAAAAAAGGGTAAAAGAACAGTGAACATTCTTCAAAATGTCAAGGTCAACTTTTCTATTAAACTTGTATGTTGTATGTTTCAATGTATGTTGAACAAAAAAAACTTAAACTACTGAACTAAAAAATGACAATCGCATTAGAAAATAAAATAAAAAAAGAGACACCGCAAATGAGAGACTGAGCAGAGGACAGGCTGTGATATCTATATTGAGTCCATTTGTGTTTGTTTTTAGGGTGTGTGCACATGATTTTCCAAGTCACTGTCTGTGCTCTGAAATACAGGAAAATTGCATGACTCACTTTGAGACAAATGCAGCTGTTTACAAAGGCCTGACAAAAAGGTGACTGAACTGAAGTCTCTCTCTCTCTTTCTCTCCTACTCACTCTCTCACCAGAGCCTCATTTCAACTATTACCAAAAACCTGAAAGTCATTTTTGTGATTCGCTTACAAGCAGGCTTCGCCCATTGTTTTGCACATCCACATTCGTGTAAACAACGGCGGTTTCCGACATGCAAACAGACGCAAAATCTAATTTATCTGGGCTTGTACGTGGGTCACTTAAGCTTCTGGAGGCCGAGCCAGTCGGTACATAGTCTGCTGAATGTCAGGCTGTCTGAGTCTAGACATTTTTTCAGACCTGCCCTCACGTTTTGCTGAGCTAAGAACAAAGTACACAGAGTACACACACATAGCTTTCACAGTCTTAATACCAAGGCAGCGGTATTTCGTTCCTATCCCAAAACAAACAACGCAGTGCATTTCTTTACACTATTTAAATGTTAACAGGCAAGAGCGCAGGCTGAATAGAGCATTCTTTCACTCTGGATACCAGAAACGGCCCAGCCAGACTTTCAAAACATGTTCTAATGAAATCATCCAAAAGATAAATAAAAAGCTGCACTTGTTTTCTTTTCTGAGCTCACCTCCCCCTCTTCTTTCTTTTCCTTTTTTTGTAATTGGATTATACTTTTTTGAGTGCAGACCATCAGCTCCATGAGAGCATGGAACTACTGTAGAGCGATTTCTCATTTTCGCTCCCTCTGACATGACAATTATACAGCTAAGGACTAAGGATATGAGAGTTAACACAGGTCTTATACTGAAACTGAGGGTTTTAACCCAGTTATGCAATGTTATCTTTATGAGCAGTGAAATATTATAGTTTTATTAACACCAATATTGATATCTAGAGGCTCGGGTTAGCAATGTAATATAATCATAGCAAATATGATTTACACAAAATTGTACTTATGTTCCATGATATTTACTCAAAAGCACTCAAAAACTATTTGAGAATGTCTATTTGAAAACATAAAATTATACATGTGCATTATACATTGACGATTTGCTGCTGCCAATGTCACGATCTAGAGAGCAGGACTGTTCAATATTACACTACACATTGCAAATAAGATATACACAAAATCAAAACTGTAAATACAAGAAACTTAAATATACAAAATGCAAAAAATAAAACATGCATAAAAAAGCTAATAAAATGTGCATTATCCATTAACAAATATTTCAGTAGAAATGGCCAAATATCTGTCAATTAATCTGTCTTGCTGATATATATATAGACTACCATTAAAAAGTTTGAGAGAAACTAATATTTTATTATTTTATTACTCATTATTAAAAAAAAAAATACTTTTATTCAGCAAGGATAAAATAAATGCTGTTCTTATGAACTTTTCTATACATAAAAAAAATCCTGAAAAGATATCACTGTTCTGAAAAAAAGGCAGCACTACTGCTTTAAACATTGATAATAAGAAATGTTTCAGCAAATTGGCATATATGATTTCTGAAGTATCATGTGACACTGAAGACAAAGAAGAGTGTCTGATCGATTGATACACACAGACAGACAGACAGACAGACTGACATGGTAATCATGTTAATTTCACATACTTCTTTTTGATCATATCATACATTTGTATGGTTAATGTCTATGTATGATCTCAACCATGCTTTAACATCTACTCTGACATCATATTTCCTCTTTCTCCCCACCAATCACCTTTTTCTCTAGATCTCTCTCTTTTTCTCATCCGTTCTCTTCTCTCCTTTGACCTCAGATCCTGTGCACTATTAATACCAATAACCCACAAATTCCATTTCCCTGTGCAGAGACAGAGTGAAAGTAAGCTTAGTGACGGAGGAAAGAGCAAAATCTTTCAATACATATTCACTTCTCCTTTTGAGGCAAAGATTTAATTGGACAGGAGAGAGTGGAGGCAGATAACATGTGGTTTGCTCAGAAAGAGAGAATGAGAGAGTGAGAACGAGGGGGATCCAAGGTGCACAGTAAGAAATGTAAGCGTTTTAGACAGTATTTTAAGCCCAGGGAGCAAGGGGGAGAATAAATGCATCGCTTAAAATCTGTGAACACTTACCCATGAACTTAACCCAGTGCTCCACAAGCCAAATCCAAACAATTCCAGCGTTCCACACTTTGATCTGCACTATAACAAAAGTCCTCTCTTCACCAGCTGCCTCTTTATCAAGTAGTAAGTGAGGTGCGCGCAGTGTGCAACCAGCAGCCTTGCCCCGTTCGCGCTCTCTGGCTCGCACACACATGCACTCTCGTCTCGGGGGCTGGAGGTATGTGGTCTAAACACAACAAAAAGTCTGAGTCGAAGATTGAATATGCAGGAAGAGGGCCTCCGTTTGCATAAACACAAACACTCAGCAAATGAAGGGCTGGCACCGATTGCACCACTGCCTGCTGGGAAACGCATACCTATCCCGTTCTGACCCTGGAATACTTTAATCAAACTACAGCTGAGAAGACATGGACTACACTGGAGATAAACAACAAATGTTTGGTTTGATGATCCCCAAATGAGTAAGTGCAAAAAAAAAGTATATATATATATATATATATATATATATATTAAGAATATTTTTTTTATTTTATTGAGAAATGAACTATATTCTCAACTATATCGCATTCCTCATTCTAACAAAAAGTTCAGCACTAACTTGTAAGAATTTACAAAGTCATTTATAATCAATGACATCTGATCATTCCAGCTTCTCCAAAAAGCTTTGGTTCTTAATTTTTGCAATTCTCACGTTTAACTAGTTGGTTATTAGCATGCATATTACTAGCTTATTGGCTGTTTATTAGTACTCATAAAGCACATATTAATGCCTTGTTCTGCATGACCACATTCTAGATCCCTGAACCTTACCCCATACCTATACTTAACAACTACCTTATACTATTAATAAGCAGCTAATTAGGAGTAGTGGTCGACCGATATATCGGTCAATATTTGGCATTTTTCAAATATCAGCATCGGCCGAGAAGTTTTTATCTTTGGCCGATGCGTTTGTGGCGGGAATTTTATTTTGATGGCGCGCCAGACTTTTATTTTCACAGCGCTGAGAACGGCAGCGATGGGAAGTTCGGATCATTTTACCGACTTGGACCTATGAGACTCATTCAGCAAAATGAACGAATCTTTTCTCCGAGTCATTTCGTTCATTTTAGCAAAATATAATTAAAATGTTACATGTTACTTCCCTAACACGTCTACTACTTACGCAAACGTTGATCACACTACAAACAATACAAAACTATAATGCTATAAGATACAGAAAAGGTTAATTAATTGTTTACCTGGGTCTTCGGTCTATGATTAGCTCACCTCATCTGACAAGTCTTCGGGTTTGAGTCGTTCGTTCATCACGTGACAGTCCCATAAACTTAATGCAGTCTGAGCCGGAAAGAGAATTGATTAGTTCATCTCTCGAGTCTTTGGGTTTTAGTCGTTCGTTCATCACGTGACGGCCCCATAAGCTTTAACTAGGGATGTAACGATTAACTGCGAGCCGGTAGAAAATCGATTTAAATAAGAGACGATTCAAATCGGTTGAGATGCTAAACAAATCGCGATTCAATTAGGGGTAGGAGTTTATATGAATGTATGTCTGAGGGCAACTTACTGTCTTTAGAAAAGTTTAGATGGTATTTTTTCTTTTCCTCTTGCCTCTGTATAAGGCATATTAAAGTTCATAAGTGCAGGGCTGCTTTGTTTACAGCGGAAACCAAGGAAATGCTTTAAGCGCCACCTGCTGGCAGAGAGTGATTCTGCGTCTCATTCAGCTCATCCGCTGTTTCATGCAGATATTTTTTGTGCATAGTTTCACAAAACTGAAGTCAAACCATTCTGTTTTTGCTTAAAATTTCGAAATTATACAATGTAATTTGTAATGTAATGTAATTTTAAATGTAAAGAGCACAGACAAAGACTTATTTTGTTTATATGAAGATATTTATTTTGTGTTACTTATTTATTTGATTTGGGGCTTGTTTTAAAATTTCAATTTAGTTTTGTTATTTACATTTATATTATATTTCAATTTTGGTATTTAGCAAACGCTTTTATCCAAAGCCACTTACGAATGAGGACAATAGAAGCAATCAAAACCAACAAAAGAGCAATAATTTACAAGTGCTATATTATTATAGTGTTTTATTTCAATTTAATAAATCCCATTAATTCCTTGTGGGGACGTCGTGGCCTAATGGTTAGAGAGTCTCGTACCCCAAAGGTTGTGGGTTCGAGTCTCGTACCGGCAGGGATTGTAGGGGGGGGGGGTGAATGTACAGCGCTCTCTCCCATCTTCAATACCACGACTGAGGTGCCCTTGAGCAAGGCACCGAACCCCCAACTGCTCCCCGGGCGCCGGGTGTGTGTTCACTGCTGTGTGTGTGCACTTAGGATGGGATAAATCCAGAGCACTAATTTCGAGTATGGGTCACCATGCTTGGCCACATGTCACGTCACTTTTTTTTTTTCACTTTCACTTTGACCTATGCCGTCTGAGCCGGAATGAGATTTGATTAGTTCATCTCTTGAGTCTTTCGAATCGTTCATTCTTTTGTCACGTGACGTGAAAGCATTGGATAGCTACAAACGGGTGCATAGTTATTATTAGTAGTAGTAGTATTATCATTATTATAATTATTATTTACTCTTACGGTTACGTGATGAGTTTCTGGTCTCAAATTGTAGCTTTTTACTTCTTACGGTTTATAAATGTGTGAATTTCTGTCATGATGGTTCTTTTCCATAACACTGAATGTTGTAACAAAGGTAATAAAGAGTTGGTTATTATTATTAAGTCTCTTTCCGGCTCAGACTGCAGGGTAGGGATGGGCATTTCCCAAAAATGTTGCATTCGAATATTTGGGCTCATAAAAAACGATTACTCGAATATTCATTTATTTAAATGAGTTTAAATAAATGATTTTTAATTATCAAGTTTTTGTCACGATTTCTGAACAAGCTTATGATTAGCTGTTACACAACAATGTTCTACAACAACGTTACGTTATATCACAAGGTTTTATTTTGGTTGAAAACGTGTAAACAAAAATACATTAAAATAAAAGCATTCAAGATCAAGCAGAGCAAACGGAAAAATCAAGCAGACTGTGCCATACAGAACGTAGGCTAATGTTACATATACTCGAGTCAGCCTATATTTATTGTGTTTACATTGTTTCACGTATAAATTCTGAGAAACAATAATATCCACATGCTCGGGTGAAAGTTTGTTCCTCAGTCTGATAACAATAAGAACGCGCCGACAAAGATAACGTGTGCTAACAGTTTCTTAGCGCTTTGTGTTAAACCACTCTCCCTCGAGGAACCTTT